TTTAACTGTTTTACAAAATTAAACTCATATTAACTCATATCTTTAACGTTAAATAATATTATTTTCCGTTGATTAAGATATTATAACCCAATATGTGGACACATTAATAAAGTCAAAACAGAAAAATAGGCCAGTCGTCCAAAGGTGTTCCATACTAAACTGTGACATGGATTGATGAAGGGCTAAGGTCTCTCATGACTAAAACATGGCGCGATCCTGGACCTAATAGAGTTTAGATAGTCGCATAGGGTCAACATTATAGACACCGAATCTAATACAGTGTCCCTCTGGAGGATCATTTATGTAATACCGTTAGCGAATTTGAAATAAATTGTATATTTTGTCCCGTATTTTAAAGTCAGTGAAAAATATTTACACAAACAAATTTCAAAATATTTAAATAATGGATAATGTTAGTATTTTTTCAGCTTAATAGTATATGTCGTTTATTTGCGAAGGTTTAAATCTTCTTAAAAATCAATTAGGATTGGTGTTCACACTAGTCCCGTGTGTTTTTTAGATTCATTTTTCGTTCAAAACGAGCGTATTATACAATAAAAAAATAATCATGAAATACATTGATTCTTTGCATGTATTATAATTAAATATAATAAGAGGATATCTGTAAAGATCTATAAAATATTTTAATAGTATTTCATCATTCTCAGCTTATTCTCTTTGTAGTTGGATGCACTGTTGTCTATTGTTGGCTATGCGGGCCCAAGTTATCCCTGCTAACTTCTTAATATCATGGTCCCATCTTAGATTGGGTCTCAAATTTGGTCTTCTTCTAGGTCTCTTTATTCCTCGTGGATACCATGCTGTAATTTTTGTGGTCCATCTGTTGTCCGTTCTTCTTGCCAGGTGTCCTGCCCATTGCCACTTGAGGGATTTGACTATGTGGATGACATCTATTACCTGGGTCTTTTGTCTTTGACTATTTCCAATGTTGTGTTAGTTATTAGAATGTCCTTTTTTACACTAGTTTGTTGTACATTAGTTGTACCAACTGTAACCTCCCTCACCTATTTAGATACTTTCTTTGTTGTTGGGCCCATTATTGTCTATTGTTGGCTATGCGGTATGAGCACCATGCTGTAATTTTTGTGGTATATCTGTTCTCTGTCTTTTTTGCCAGGTATCCAGCCCATTGCCACTTGAGGGATTTGATTCTGTGGATGACATCTATCCCCTGGGCCTTTTGTCGTATCCACTCTATTCTTTTAGGGTCTCTCTCGTTTATTCCCAGCATATTTCATTTCATTGCGCATTGTCCGACCTGCAGTTTCCTTATAATGTCCGTTTTAAGTGTCAAGATTTCGCATGCATAGGTCATGACTGGTAGTACACCTTGGTCGAACGTTCTCTTGTTTAGATAAAGTGGCATTCTAGATTTGAATATGATTGAGTTTCTTCCATAAGTACTCCATGCTAACTTAATTCTTCTGGTTATTTCTGGTAGTAGAGATCCCCAGCTGTGTACTAGTTGCCCCAAATATATGTATTTTTCTACTATTTCCAGTATTGTGTTATTTACTAGAATGTCTTTTCTGTCTACCAGTTCGTTGTACATTACTTTAGTTTTTGCTAGATTCGTTTTGAAACCCTGTATAGCTGGCTTTATATATACTTTATATATATATATATATATATATATATATATATATATATATATATATATATATATATATATATATATATATATATATATATATATATATATATATATATATATATATATATATATAATATATTTTATTTAAATATTTTAAATAAAGGAACATTATTTTTTTATTTGCCAGATAAATGTAAAGCACTTTTATGTTAATGAAAATAAAAAAGTACATTTAGAGCTTGGATTTGCTTTTAACCTAAGTGTAAAAACACTTTTTGTTTGCTATAGGCTTACAATTTCAATCACAACTCCAAAAATTGATTTGGTTTCAGTCTGTGAAAATCAGAAAAGTATTATTTTACAGGTTTATACGTTACGTTTGTTTTCAAATATGCTTCTATACACAGATTTTGCTGTTTTTTTAAAAGATGATATTTAATTATAAATTTATACGCGTATAAAATGTCGAGTAAATAGAAATAAAAGTGTGTGATAAATGAAAAATTTCCAGATATTTTTTTGTAAATAAAATATCTTTTGTTACTTTATCTTAAAAAATTTTCGCTTTAATTCAAAATGTCTTCGTTTGGTTTAAAGCACGTCAAGTTAAATCATTTTACAATTAACACAACAATGGTATAAATAAATCATGATTTATTTTATAAAATCTCTTATTTTTTAACAAATTTGGTTATAATGTTTCTATAATATATACATACTAAAAATATATATTTATTTTTTAAAATTTTAATTTGTGCATTAGTTGTAAAGAACATTTCAAAAAATAATTAGAGTTATTGTTTTAGTTACGGAGTTTTAAGTTTGTGGCTGTTTTTTTTTTATCACAAATTTCTTTACAAAGTTTCTTGAAATAAACTAGACGCACTTTTAGTAGAATACGACCTCAATAAAAAATAACGAAGTTAATAAGTTTTCTTGGAATCCATATAAACCCAAAACTTTGCACTTAAGCCGAAAATGTTTTTACATTATATTCGGCTTCGTATATGTTTCGTATTTTTTTGGATATCTTGTACTTAATGCAAAAATAAAGTGTCTGAAAGTTACTTCTATTCTAATATTTATTACTTTTGGTGTATTTATATTTTAGTATATTTACTGTTATCTTAAAAAACTGGGTATCAGTAGGATATCTAATGTATGAAAGAACTAATAGAATTAGAATGTAGAATGTAAAAAGTATATGCAATTATATTAATTCAATTTGTATATGAAACGTTTCCACAAAATGTAACTATTTTTATTATACAGGGTGTGCTAATATTCCGTAGACATAGAACTACTGCGTATTTTTGAAATCAAATTATGTTCATTGGACAGACACAATTTACCGCTATACAAAAGTGCTTCGTTTGTACGTTAGAGGCCATCAAACTTTAAAAAAATTAACACATATTTTAAGATATTTCAAGAACCATTTGGCGTCCCTATGTCTTGCTAAGTGCTTTAATATTCAAAAAAAAGTACGGTAAGGGTGAAAATTATCCTCACCCGTACATAAATCTTAATAAAAATATTTTTATTATAAAACTCCACCGTCGCGTCGGCCGATTTGTTTTTACATAAACTGGTCCTTGTAGTGTTTACTACAATTTTTGCCTCTTGTAAAAAAACGCCACCGGTTATACTTTTTGAGAAAAAAATGTTTTTCCGAAGTTGACTTAGAAAAAATTTATTTTATCACATCAGCTATGTAGGCACATAAAGCCTATGTGCGCTAATAATTTAGTTGGGAAAGTATGGAATTTTATGTTTGTATCACAAATTATATTTGTCAATAAGCTTCTTAAATTAAAAATTAATTTATTAACGTTCGGATTTATTTTCGACTGATGTCCCTCTAAATGATAAACAACGCACCTTTGTATAGGGTAAATTGTGTGCACATTTAACTTATTTTGATTCAAAAAAGGTTGTTTTATGACCACGGAATATTGCAACTCTTTGTATATTTTGAAGATCTGCTTCTCAAAACCTATGCGGTGTGGAGCTTTTATACAAGAGATAAAAGTATATCATATCTTTAACATTATATTATAACATCACATTATCAGGCTAATGATTGAACTGTATCTTCTCCTGCACTCTGAAAATCTTCTTTAAAAATATATTAACTTAACATTTGGCAATATCGCAGCATTTACTATCGATTTGGGAAATTGAGATTTTTCTGTTATCCTGTGTAACGATGCTCGATGATGTATGCCGTATCCGTTGCAGGCATTTCGTACATATATTCCTTTCATATTAACAAAAAAAATAGAAGTATAGATAAATATGGAACGCGATTTTCCTCTAAAATTTCGCATCTACTAGTAGAGATATGTTTTATTTTCAGTATCAATCTAAATATACGTTTTAGAAATTTACTTTTCGTGAAATATTTTGAGTAATTTAATTCAAAATCAAGTCACATTTATATTGAAAATTATTTACGTTTTTGTCGTTGTTTACGTTTACGTTACCTATGATATACAAAATACCATGAAAATGTGAGAAATTTAATATTGGTGAGACATCTTGGCCTTTAAATGAATGATGAATTAAAAAAAACATAACAGTTATTAAAAAAAAGTGTAATTTTTGCAAAACAACATTTGTCAGCATTCACGGGACACATGACACAAAGTAGATTTTACCAATGCAAAAATTATAATAAAAGGACCGGTTGCCCCTAAACAAAAAATAAAAGTGTCTTTTATAATTCAATCTAATATAAATAAATGTATTGCTCAGGTATCTGTAGATGTTAGTATCTTTTAGCTATCGCTTTCTGTTAATTTGTTTTTAACAATACTCATGATATACTCGTATATGCTGCTATGATTAATTAACATTTGCAATATTTATTTATTTTTTTAATATAGATAAAATTATGTATGTGAACATTTAACGCAAAATTATTAAACCACTATAGGGAAATTAAAATAACTTTGGTTGCACATCATAATAAGACCACCAGCGAACTCCATAAGACGACGCATGGTGTCATTGATGACGTGCACCCAAAGTTGTTTTAATTTCCCTATAATTCAATCACAACTACATACCAGTAAAATGTCAAAAACATTTGAAAAGTAAGCTGCTTAAAAGTAAGCTAGAAAAAAAAGAAATGGTGTCTCATAGTTTTGAAAATTATGAAAAACTTGGTAATTATATTATTGTAATAATTTATTTCAGAAATAAATATCTAATTTGGCGTATTAATACTTTATTTATCAATAAGTTCCAAATTAATATATCATAGACTAAAATGGCGTTTTTATAAATAGACTGAATTACAAATTACACAATATAAAATTATTAAACTATTTATTCTAGTTTTTAATTTAAAACAGTCATACACTTACAATAATAAATTAAATAATTTAATAACAAACTGTTTATTATAAACAAGAATTTACATCATACTATCCAATAAAATACATTATAATAAGATTGACTTAACAGAAATGGCTAAGTGTAAATTACGTTTAATCACCAGTCATCATTTCCATGAATTCTGAAAAACAAAATAAATTATTTATAATATATATTATATTTGTTAATAACAAACCTTCAAAATCAACGGTTCCTGACGCATCCGTATCTATTTCTGCAATCATTTCATTCAGTTGATCGTTGGTTAATTGATCATCTAAGGCTGCTAGAATTTCTCTTAAACTTGAAGTGGGAATATAACCGTTACCTGAAAAAAGTTAGAAAACAGTTAGTAAGTATAGTTAAAGTGTTTTTTTTCGGAGAACATATTTAACCAAACAGGGTATGCAATCTCTGTTTTTGATTGAAGATGTTTGATGTTTTGATAAAGTAATAAAAGTTCGACGTACAAAAGTTAAAATAATTTGATTGTGTTCTGTTTTATTGTTAATATTTCCCGGAAATTAATTAAGATTAAACGACTGATAAGTATTTTTGTGCTCACTAACTTTATGAAATATCAGACAACTTTGTCTTATTCAAGGATTATTTTGTAAAACTAATTAATTTATAAGACAAAATAAATCAATTATAAAGTCAATATAACAATTAGGGCCCAAAATTTAGGGACTGGCTTATGGCCCTTAAAAGTTTTCTTGCCGGAGTTCTTAGAGCATATAGTTTCACTCAGGAGTAAATAAGTTTGTAATAAAATAAATTGATAACTATATTATCAACAAATAAGTATCTATACTGTCAAATTCTCTATACTGTCAAATTTATTCTCAGCAATTAATTGTATTTATTAAATAGGACACTATCGGAATATTCAGACAAATATATATTCGTTAACAATTAAACTTTTAGTTACGTAATCGAGGGCGCAATTTTTATTCATAATTCATTGTTGCTAACCATGGTCATATTCGGCGCCGTGCTGATTAACTGGAATTTAAATTTCTCGCTGGCAATTAAAATACGGTAAAAAATGTCTCCACATTTATTTATTTTCTGACATTCTCATTGGTATTGACACTTTAGTTTTATATTACAGTTTTTGGTTTAAATGAATTGTGTGGTGATACTTTAAACTTATAATTTTTTACTAGCAGACCTAAACATTGTTCTTTTTAGAACCACTTTTAGTGCGAAGTGTAATAGCCGTAAAAAACAATCGCAACTTAGGAAAATTAATTGTATTGTGGGATTTTAAGCTTAAAAATGTTTACTAGCAGACCTTGCAGTCAAACTTTGTTCTTTTTAGTAGAACTTCTTTTAGTGCGAAGTGTACAAGATAGCTTAATAGATGTAAAAAACTGATCGCAATTTTATTAGAAGATTTTGAAGGGGACAGCGATAATAATGGCCCTTTATGTCCCTTAAGTGCTATTATGAAGGTGTGTTTTGTTGATGTAAATAATAACTGTTTATATATTTATAATTAACTAGCGTGTACCAGCGACATCGTTCGCGTCGAATTAATCATTTGTAATGGTGATGATAAAGCAAAGCAAGAATTTCCATTAACATACAAACTGGATAAAATTTTCTCACATTTATGTCAGCATGAGAAAAACAATATGGCGATATTATTATATAATTTGGTATAATTTGAGGGGTAGTTTCATCTCGTTGGAATTTGACTTTCAAAAAAGCCGTTTGCAAAAATAAGCTTTTTACGTCAAGCAGTTTAAGCAGAATCGTGGTTAAGAAATTACCCAACTTTTTGGAACTCCCTGTATGATTTTTTAAAAAAATTCAAAATATGTAAAAAAACCAAATAAATTATGCTTGTCCAAGCGTTTTCCCGAATGACTGACCGTTTTTTAAATAACAAATATTGTAATTTGAGGGGCGTTTTCACTCTCTTGGAATTTGAGATTCGAGAAACCCCTCCTTATCGAACCTCTACACCCCACAGTCAATCCGTTTGCCAAAAATCAACTTTAAACGTCAAGCAGTTTAAGCAGAATCGTGATTACTCAATGGTCATATTTTATAAAACACTTAAAATATGTAAAACAACAAAATAAAATATACGTATTTAAGAGTTTTTCCGAAAAACTTACCGGTTTTTAAATAAAAAATATTTTAATATTTGAGGGATAGTTTCACCCCCTTAGAATTCGAGTTTCGAAAAATCCCTTCTTATTGAACCTCTACACCCTAAAGTCAATCTGTTTTCCAAAATTCAGCTTTTTATGTCAAGCGCTTTAAGCAGGATCGTGATTAATCAATGACTAGATTTTTGGAAACACCCTGTATACATTTTTAAAAAATCTTAAAATATGTAAAAAAACAAAATAAAATATACGTGTTTAAGCGTTTTTTCGGAAACTTAACCGTTTTTTAAATAAAAAATATTGTAATATTTGAGGGGTAGTTTCACCCGGAACTGAAATTTCGAAAAATCGAAATATTGTTTTCGATTCCTTCTTATCGAACCTCTACACCCTAGAATCAACCTGTATGCCAAAATTGAGCTTCTTACGTTGAGTGGTTTGAGCAGGATCGTGATTAATCAGTATGTCAGTCACTTAAGGATTTTATATATTAGTATAGATTTATTTTTGGTTCCTAAAATATTTTAATTAAAAGATAATATGTAAGAGTGGGCAACACTGTGCCGGTCAAGCTTAATCACGTGACTAAAAGTTAATTTGATATGAACTATAGATATACAAATCAGATGCAAACAGAAAAATATCTGGGCTGCAACTTCTTTAATAAAAAATTCATTTACATAGATCGTATATGCTTATTATCTAATGGTTACGATAAACAATAAATTATAAAGATTTTTTTCCAACACTTTGATTGATTTATTACTAAATTTTGTACCAATACTTCGTAATAACATATCAAATTGCATGTTTTTTTACTGACATAGTTATAAATACTGGCATCTGCAGTGGTAATAAACATATTAAAACAAATATGGGTACATATCATTTATCTAATTTAGTTTGTTTTTTCTGCTTCGATAAAAATTACCTCAGATGATGAGAGTGTGATTTTTGTCTCGCATCATTTATCAAACCGTCCCTTGAATGAAGTTGAATATCGGAAGATATAAAAAATAAGTCATTTTCTAGGTCGAACATGTGATAAATTACGTAGTCCGCGAGAACCGCAAGAACGGGTTTGAAAAATGATTCTCGCGAAAGGGGCATCTTCCTTCTTTAAAAAAACTTCGAAAACGATTCTTCCAAAAACTAGTTTCAATTTTCAGATAGACCATGTATGTTTTTTTTTGTATTCTAACAAATAAAAAGTTTGAGATAGCTTTTTATAGATAAGTTACATGTATTTAGAAAATGGTTTTACATTTTGTAACCTTCTAATATAATTATTATTAATTCCAGAAATTACATTATAATGTTTTTTTCGATTATATTGCATTTTTTACAGCTCTCAAAATCTGTTAATTTTAAAAAATAGTGCAATCCGCTGATTTGTGTGAGACTTTCTATATTCTTTCTTGTTTTTTTTTGCTTATGGACATGCGAAAGCATATCGCTAACTGCAATATAATTAAAACTGTCTATTCTTCTGTCTATTATTTGTAAATAATTTACATTCTTTGGTATATCCGTAAATGTGTAACATTATTTCTGGTACAATAAAAATAGTACAGGGTGACTCACTAAGAATAGCTCCGGGCTGTATCTCGGTAAGTATTAGCCATAATAGTAAGGGGACATGAAAAATTGCTGAAAATAGTTTTCAAGTTTGTAAAATGGCTGTTAGAGGGCGCAACTGCTATGAAAAATAAGAAAATAGAATTTTTACAGAATTTTGTCTAGATAATGGGTACTATAAATAATAACTTCATAATCTCCGGTAAATTTTGGATTTTTTTTGTTAGAACCATTTTCCCTTATCTGCTAAAATAAAGTGGTAAGCTTATCTGCTAAAAATAAGTGGAGAAGGTTATATCTATCTTTATTTAAATATTAATAACTCCGGACTGGATGATCAGAATCCAACAAACGAGGGCTCGTTTAAAAGAGCGCTCATACTACTCTATACTTACTCTATATCATAAAAATGATAAAAATAAGATTTTGAACGTAGAGGCTAGGGGGCGCTGTTTTACAATTTAACAAACATTCCGCGTTTTTTCAAAAAAATTAAATACGATAGTATATGTAATTTTAGCTGATAGTAAAGAGTAAAAAAAGCTTTAAAAGGCAACGAAAAGCGCATCTTGATAACTTGTTTTAAACCGATGATATTAGCATAATTATACTAAGAACCAAAAACTAAGCCCTTAATTTTCTTATTTTTACAAAACGGTATCAGTAGCCCTCTTGATTTACAAAACGGTATCAGTAGCCCCATTCTAATAAAAAAAAATAATATAGAAACAGTTAGTTTATTTTAAAATCGACCATATACCAAAATACCATAATACCTGATGTATTAATAGATAATAATTAAGATATTAATAACAGTGAACAAGAAACGATCCCTCAGTGAAGTCATGGTAGGCTTTGGAAAAAAATTGCTCTTACATACTATAAGCAAATCAAAATTTATAGTAAAAATTAAAATTATATCAATCAACATTTTGCGTTTTTTATCTTTTTTATTGCTTTTTCAACAACTTCAACTGCTTAGATAATAGCGGCCATACTACAATATATTTATTATACATATATACCGGATGTTTTTCAAAAGTGATTTCAAAGAAAATAGCTGAATACGTCAATTATAAAAATAATAATCAAATTTATGTCATATACTAAAATACCAAATTTCGTTTTTTTTATCTGAAAAAATAAAAAAGTTATATGGGGGTTAGTTAAATTCACTTTTGAAAAACACCCGAGATATGTATTGCACAATAACGCTAAACGTAATTTTAGCATTGCAGAAAATGCAAAGAAAGTTTAGTATTTTAGATAATAGACTATGTACCTTCTTTATCGTAGAGTCTAAAAGCTTCTTTGAGTTCCTTTTGTAGAGCTTCTTCGTCTTCGTTCTCCAGAAAATGCGAGGCTACCCGACAGAAGGAGTCAAAATTTACCGTTCCCGTTTCTGAAATTATTAACATAAAAGGTGTTATAACATATTCTATACTATTCTATAGAAGAATAATTTTTTTATTTATTACAAATACCTTTGAAAGAATAACAATTCTCTTAATTTCAAAAATTAATTCTTGATTGAAGCTTTATTTAGCAAAAAATAGTATATTCTAAATAATAATAATATTTTTGCATTTAAGGAATTTAATAACATTTTTAAATTGAATTGAATATATATTCAAACTTTGAACTAGGTACCTAGAGTAATGTAATATTTTCCATAAATATGCAATAATATTCAGAAAAAAATATAAAGTACTAAAGCAGAAATTCAAATCTATTGAAAATTAACATTTAAATTAGAGATCAATATCTGATGTGATATGTTTATAAATTAGAAAACTATTCAAACATGACAAAGTAATTTCTAAAGTATTTGCATTCCCCATTAATCTACAATTTTTGTACCGGGTGTCCCACTAAGAATAGCTGTCGACTGTATCTCGGAAAGTATTAGCCGTAGGGCTTACGGAAAAAAATATTAATAACTAAAGAAGCTATGAGAAATTGCTGGAAATTATTTTCAAGTTTGTAAAATGGCCGCTAGGTGGCGCAACTGCTATGGAAAATGAGAAAATAGATTTTTTACAGAATTTTGCCTAGATAATGGGTACTATAAATAATAGCTTCATAATCTTCAGTAAATTTTGGATTTTTTTTTGTTAGAACCATTTTCCCCTATCTGCTAAAATAAAGCCCTCGCTTGTTGGATTCCGATCATTCAGTCCAGAGTTATTAATATTCAAATAAACATAGATCTAACCTTCCCCCACCACTTTATTTTGGTAGATAGGAGAAAATGGCTCTATCAAAAAATATTCAAAATTTGCTGAAGATTATGAAGCTGTTACATATAGTACACCTTGTCTAGGCAAAATTGTGTAACTCTGTGTAAACTCCATTTTCTTATTTTTGGTTGCAGTTGCGCCCCCTAGCGGTCGTTCTACAAACTTGAAAATAATTTCTAGCAATTTCTCATAGCCTCTTTAGTCATAAATATTTTTTTCCGCAGCCGCTACGGCTAATACTTTCCGAGATACAGCCGAGAGCTATTTTTAGTGGGACATCCTGTACAGGGTGGGTCAAATTCGACGCTTTTAAATGGAAACACCCTTTTCTATACGAGATAGACAAAAACTAATATCGGTGTCTGGGGCTCAATTTTTGTCAAAAACATGATGGTGAAAACCGCATATCGATATCTGTTACCGTTTCGGAGTTACGGGGTGTTTTTAAAAAATATGCATTTTTAACAAATCGCTGTAACTTTTTTGCTATGGAAAATTTTGTATTTTTATGAAAACATTTCCAAAGCACCTTTTTACGTAGAATCTAATGGTTTAAGTATAAATTTTTTAAAATTAATAATTTAAGAATTATCAACAGAAAGTTTGATTTTTTATATAGGACACCCTGTATATTTTTAATTTATTGAAAAGAATTTAAAATTACCTTTCCAAAATTATAACACACTTAATATTTTGCTCGATTCCTTTTCGAGATATAGAGTATATAAAAATTAACCCGCTTTAAATAAGTAGGCTTTGAACGGCACCGGCTGTAATGCAAAAAAATTCTAGCTGTGAGCAACAATTAAAACGAAAATAATATTTGCTATGAGAGATGCAGAATTTTATAACAATTTAAAGTATAATTAACCAACCTCAACGCATTTAAACTATATCTAATAACAATAAAAATAAATAGCAAACCAAGACATGAGATTTTGCTACAGGTGTTCGACATATCGACCGTCTTCTGTTATGGACAGACGGGGCAGTTTTTGAACATTTCTCGCGGAATTCATTAACTCAGTAGGGGTGAAAGATACCCTCTCATAACTGCTAAGTATTTCTAATCCTTGTCTAGATTATACGGAAGAATAAGGAACATTTATTGTTCCGCAAATATATCCATAGGATTATATCCATGGGCACTAAGTCAGGCGGCCTCGACGGCCAACGGCTGGGATCTTGGTTAGCTATTCAATTATTCTTGAAATTGGCTGCAAAAATTTGCTGATAACTTCAGCGTTCTGTTAGGTTAGGTTAGGTTGTAGTATATTGGAAAAATATGTTTTCGAGTTCCATTAAGGGCATATCATCAATAAGGGGTCCAAAGCCTTCTAGTAAAAAGTGGCGAACTTTTAAAGATTCTGTATTTCGAAGGGGATTATAACAAAATATCAAGTGCGCTATATTTTTGAAAAGGTAATTTTAAATTCTCTTCAGTTAATTAAAAATATATAGGGTGGCCCAAATAAAAAATCAATTTTTCTGTTGATAACTCTTAAATTATTAATTTTAAAAAAATTATACTTAAACCATTAAATTCTACGTAAAAAGGTGCTTTGGAAATGTTTTCATAGAAATACAAAATTTTCCATAGCAAAAAAGTTACAGCGATTTGTTAAAAATGCACATTTTTAAAAAACACCCCGTAACTCTGAAACGGTAACAGATATTGATGTACGGTTTTCACCATAATGTTTTTGATGAAACTTGAGCTCCAGACACCGATATTAGTTTTCGTCTATCTCCCATAGAAAAGGGTGTTGCCATTTAAAAGCGTCGAATTTGGCCCACCCTGTACATATATAGTAATGTATAAATCTTTTCGATGTATATATTAATAAAATTAGTTTGATGTCAATAAATTGTCTTGATATGTTGTTAATAAATTATCTAGATTTAAGTATGATGTTAACAAATTAAAAGCTGTTCAAAATGTCTGTCAAATGACTCCGTTTTTTACTTTATTATCTGTTAAAGATTATACATAAAAAATTTAGGTTCCGAATTTTTGGTATTACAACATCAAAATGTTATTAATTAAGTGTAAATATTTTCAGGACAGGTAGATCTCGATAAATAAAACATAGTTTCTCTTTACCATTTTTCAAATATGTTCAAAATAACCAAGTTATTATACTTTGAAAATTAAAAAAACATATATTTTTGGCTTAAGTTTTGAAAATCACTGGATTTTTCTAGTGTTTCTTTCTTCTAACTTTATTTTACAACCTAAGGTTGCCATATTATCAAGATATTATCTTTTGGTTTTATTTTTAGTTTTTTAACTAAACAATTTTTTTTTCAATTTTTTTTGCCAAAAAAATCGAGAGAGACATTCTGGGGTCGAAATATAATACCCCTAAAAATATTTGCACTTATTTAAGACTCACCCTGTACATTTGAACTTTTTAGTGAGGGTGTTCTTAAATGTACATATCAAAGAAAAAGGTTAGTATGTGCAATTGTTGAATCATAATTTAGTTGCAGTTATTTGGTGATGATACAAACATGGTATATAGTAAAATATTTGTCCAGAGTTTTAGAGTAAAGTGAACTAATATTTCCTATATTTCATATTAATTTTTAGAGAATTCTAAACACCGAAAATATAACCTAATATAGGAACATGTAATATATATTTGATATCAATTAATTTTTTAGTTACGTGATCGAAGGCGCGAGTTTTAAAATCATTGTTGCCAACCAAGGACATATTCAGCGCCGCGCTGACTAACTGGAATTTAAATTTCGCGCTGAAGATTCAGGTTGTAGCCCTGCTGTTAAAAATGTTAAGTTGCTGCATTTATTTATTTATTTCCTGACATTCGTTTGACACTTTAGTTTTGTATTACGAATTTTTGGTTTAAATAAATAGTGTTGTGATACTTTAAGCTTAAAAATGTTTACTAGCAGATCTTACAGTCAAACATAGTTGTTTTTAGAACCACTTTTGGTGTGAAGTGTACAAGAGAGCTTAATAGCCGTCAAAAACTCATCGCAACTTTATTAGAATATTTTGAACGGGAAAGCGGCAGTAATGGCCCTTTATGTCCCTTAGGTGGTGTTAAGAAGGCGAGTTGATGTTAATAATAACTCTTTATATATATTTATAATTAATTTTTTTTCCTGAAATATTTTAATTAAAAGAAAATATATAAAAGTGGGCAACGCTGTGCCGGTCAAGATTAATCACGTGATTAAAAGTTTATTTGGTATAAACTGTAGTAACATTTGATTAAATAAAAATTTCTCTATAGAACAAATATACCTAACTCAAATCTTTTTTCAATGTAAAAAACAATTTAAAAAAAATCAACCCAATGGAGAAGAAGAAAAATTATTTTGCCTTGTCAAGCTCCCTAAAAGATATATTACACTTTCGAAGCATTAAAGTTTGGTTATTCTAAGTAAAATAAATGGTGCGGTGTATAAAGAGATGTTTATGAACACGAGCGACGTTTTAAAAAACTCGAAAGAGAAAACGTCTCTCTTTAAAGTATTCAAGACATAAAAAGTGGGTATTTCGTCGTTTCAATCCACTTCCGTTTGAATCGACATCGACTTATTAGAGTTAAGCCCTATAAATCAAGTCTCAAACAACAGATAAAGAAGTGGAATAGTGAAACGTAGTTCGTAACTTTTTGCATTTCCTAATGAGTTTACTTTATCATTCCAGAATATCTCGTTTTCTTCCGAGTATTCGATAATTGTTCCACGATGTTTAGCTTTTGATAGTAAATAAATTAAATAAATTGCTATTTCCTATTAAAATCGTATAATGTTAACACTAAACGACTTATTTGAAGTCCGGTCAATTTAGCTAGAAACATAGTGATCAAATTGCCAAAATTCCGACAAAGCTGCATTTTGGTAGAGACCTGAATTTTACCATTATAAGTAAGAAGAAAAAAGTTTCCATCGATCCCACGTCCGCTAAAAAAGTTATTCAAGGGCAAATGTCAAAATTTTTGTATTTTGGAATTTCCTCGTAAACGGTAAAATGTAGAACGTAAAATGTTTAGGAGGGGAGTTAATCACCGCGACCCTACAGACCTATTGTGTGTTTCCCTTTCTTGAATTATAACGAGTTATAACTCATCATACAATCTCAGGGCTTAGACAAAATCCATTATCTAATATGGCTCCAGAGAGGCCA